TCTAGACCTGCTCTTTTATGAAAAGCGCTGTGAGATAACTGTTGTTGTGATTTGGCGCTATATAAATAAAATTGAATTGAATTGAATTGAATATCTGACCACAGATGTATTGTTTTTAGCTGTGATTCTCCTGTTACTCATGCCGCCTCACCAAGCTCTGTGTGTTCTCACATCTTTAATGAACAAAGTGTTTCAAAGTTTTGCGCATTCTTTCAGAGCCAAAGCCAACACCTGTCTGATTCCAACACCGACAATCTGGTCGATCACTTCAATCATATCTGCTTGTCGTCACTAAATATTACTGCTCCTCTAAAGGTTAGGCCTACGTCTAAAGCTAGTAAGCAACCCTGGATAAATGACAGCATTCGCAGCCTAAAAGGGAATGCAGGAAAGCAGAGCGCAGATGGAAAAAATCCAGTCTCCAAGTCCATTACCTCAGTCTGAAGGATTTATTAATTAACTACAATAACATGGTTAAGGATGCGAGAACACACTATTTTTCTGAACTCATTACTACACATAAACACAATCCCAGGTTTCTGTTTAAGACTGTGGATCAGCTGGTAAACCCAACCCCTCCTTGTGCCTCAGCTGGAAGTAATGATGACTGTGAATTGTTTTTATCTTATTTTACTAATAAGGTGGTGTCAGTCTATTACCCCCGTGGCCTCTTACTCAGAGGTTCCTCACCAGCAACAAGAGATTTTTAACCAGTTTTATCCCATCGACTTGTCTGAGATTTGAAAAACAGTATCACAAATGAGAGTGTCCTCCAGCCTACTTGATGTTTTTACTGAAAGTAATAGATTCTGTTGGGCCCCATTTGATCTCTGTTTTCAACAGCTCCCTATCTACTGGTTGTGTCCCTGATTTTTAAAACGGCTTGCGTGAACCCACTTTTAAAGAAACCTGGTTTAGATCCCTCCCTCCCACAAAATTTTAGACCAATTTCAAAACTGCCTTTTATTGCAAAGATTCTAGAAAGAATTGTGTCCAAACAGCTGCTCACTGTGCTGGAAAATAACAAATTATTTGAAAAGTTTCAGTCTGGTTTCAGGAAGTACCACAGCACTGAGACTGCCCTGCTTAAAGTCACCAATGACCTTTTAATGTCTGCTGATGAAGGCATGTGCTCAGTCCTGGTACTCCTGCACCTTAGTGCTGCTTTTGACACCATTGATCACAACATCATGTTAGACAGACTGAGGCACTGGGTGGGGATCTCTGGTACTGCCCTAGAATGGTTTTCATCCTACCTGTCAAATAGGAAGTTTTGGTTCAGGTCAGCTGAGTCAGTGAACTCTTTTAAGTCCCTTCCCTACTTTGCATACCACATGATCATCGGACCAGACCGGAAATAGACCCAGCAGACATTAGCCCTACGCCGGAAGACCTGCGCAAAGTGAGAACCATCATGGATAATTTTCTTATTGATTTAAGGACTGAGGATTGGCACGAGAGACTGGAAGCGCTAGCCCATTTTGAGAAGGCTCTGGACCAACAACCGTGCCTACTGAATGCTCCCGGTGTGGCTGGGCTGGTTCGGGAGGTGGGTCTTCTCAAAGGATCCCTGCTATGGGCTCTGAACTCCCCCAGTGCTCCTCATGCTGGGCTTAGCATGGGGCCTGCTAGCCCCCAACCTGTCCCTTCTGATCCCCTGCCTGCTAGCGCCGCTAGCCTCCAGCCTGTCCCTCCTGATCCCTGGTCGGCTAGCCCCCATTCTGGTCCTGATCCCCAGCTCGATACAGCCATGAGCAGCCAGCTAATGCTACATTAGCGGACTGTATGAAATTGTCTTAAGTTGCTGTTTTTGGAAACATTTATCGAAACACTTGTAACGTCAACTTCAAACAAAATGTAGCAATATTATAGCCTTCCATTCTTCCAAGACCTGCGAGAGGCTTAGTCACGAGGATTATTGCATATTAATACAGATTTTTTGTTGTTGTTGTTGAGTTATATTCGGTGGCAGACAAGATGTCTTCACTTTTCTTTCCCCTCTAAGAAAGTTTGTTTTACTTTTGTAGCCCGGGCTAAAATACCTTTGCCAGTAAAATATACATAGTTTATTAAATGAAATAACTTTAATGAATGGTTAAATGAAAGATAATGCATAAATACTATAAATTACATGAGTCATTAAAAAGTAATGTGAAAAAAAAGAGAAACCATTAAGAATGTGTTTTAAAAAATCTGGACGTTTTTATTAAAGGGTTAAAATGTTTACATAAGGTTTAAGAATGTTAAAAAGGTTGAATGTTGCAGTTCATTTGAGTGTGTATAGTTTGTATGATGTGTACAGGAGACAGCCTGTGTGAGAAGTATGACAACCTAAGTGATGAGAAGTTGACATGTCAATTGTTGTTTTTCTGTACTCTGATTGGAAACTATACCGTTGACAACCAATCAAAGTTCATTCTCAAGCAAAGGGGTGGGACTTAACGATAGCTGACTCAGATCCCAGACATTGGAGAACAATAGAGACATGTTCACGCAGTGGATGTACAGTAGACATTGTACGAGAGCAATTTGTTCCTAACCTGTGGTTGACGACCAGTTACCCTGAGTGTTGAACTTTTGTGATCTACAAGAGGTAATTTCAAGCGTGTTTATGTTTATTTGTATGGTGACGGAATCTTACTGTAGCAGGAAAAACGAGTCATTAGCATTCGGCTCATAGCCTTTATGTCTGTTGTTGTACTGTCAGCTGTGTAACTGAGTAAAAGCAGTTACTTCCAGTTATTGTTAGTCTTCATGAAATAGCATATGGACTTGTTGCTTAGCCGTTTTATTTTATTCAGGAGGACATTGTGTCTGTAAAAAGGGAAAGTTCCTGTGGACCACGACGGAGAACTGTTTTCCCCTTCCAGTGTGATATGATAGACTGCTGTCTTTTCCTGAGCTGCGTTTCTTTGTTTGCAAGCTTCTGCTGTGTGCTGTCAGAGACCATCGTCCCATTCCCTCACAATCTCATTCCCTTGCTCATACTCAGAGGTCGTGAGTACTAATAACTTTACAACTTAACACATGCACATTTTTGTTTTTCTGCTTGTGAAACAAGTGAACCGGCCATTGCATGTTTTGGGCCTCAACGCACCCGAGCCATGATCCATGCCTGCAACGAGGTTTTGTTTCATTTCAGAGTTATAAAGACGTGTGAGTGTGTGTGTGTAGGCCCTTACTGAGGTAATGCACTGGTTATATAGAGTCCAGTGAAACATATAGTGTTGTGGTGCTACAGAATCTCCCCACTACCTTGTGTTCTTTTGTTCCCCCCTTTCCTGTGTTTTCTGTCTGTCCTCCCTGTCTGTGTCTGTCTGGGCGTGGCTACACTCCCTGGCTCCACCAGCGCACCTGGCTCTCATTCCACTAATCAAGCTCCTGCAGTATTTCAACCCCAGTCCTCCTCACATTCTTTGCCAGATCGTCAGTTAACCACATGTGGTACATGTGCCAAGGCCAACTATCTTCTCCTGTAAGATTCCCTGTAATTTCTGTCTCTCCCTGGACTAACCTGTTTTTCTCTGTGCCCAGGATCACACTACCTCCGGGAAACCTGCTGAACGCCACACCCCGCTCTGCTCCTATCTTGCCTGGACTAACTCCCCTCCTCTGTGTTCTCCATTCTGCCCTGTTGGAGCCAACCACCCAGTCCTCTGTTGCACCTTTCAAAAAAAAAAAAACCTTTGTTAACCCTTCGAACTGTTCCGAGTCTGCCTTTGAGTCCTCAAGTTTTTGCAATATGACAGAACGATCTGGCCAAGGCATGGACTCAGTGGACTTGGACTCGGATCCATCTGGGGTACACAAAGCCCTCGCCAGTCAGGGATATCTCCTTGGACAACATGAGCAATTAATCAGGACACTCGCTGAGAACAGCCAAGCCATGGTAAACCAAATAGCACAATTAACTGCACAAGTTTCCTCACTAACTGCACAATTTTCGCCACCTGCTCCTCCAGCTGCCTTCCCCCCCACCTGCTCCGGTGGCTGCCTCTCATCACCAGGACCACCCAGCACCTCCTCCACTCCAAGAATCGTATGTCCCCGACCCAGAACCCTTTTCCGGAGAACTGGATAAGTGCAGAGGCTTTCTCCTGCAATGCGCTATGGTTTTACCCAACGGCCACAGACTTTTCCTTCAGACGAGTCCAAGGTACTATATGTTTTGGGATTATTAAGGGGGCGAGCCCTGGCTTGGGCTGAGGCGATTAATTCTAGTCGATCCGTCTCCTCTTACACCTTTGAACTGTTCCGAGTCTGCCTTTGAGTCCTCAAGTTTTTGCAATATGACATATAGGGGTTTACAAGAGACTTACTAACAAGGGTTTTGTGCATTTGAGTATTTTAGACTGGTATTTTTATTTGGCAAAATTTTGTAAAGGTCAAGATATTTTTAGTTTAACGGGAATTTGTCTTTTGTATTACTGCCGAATTAATTAAATTATTGTGCTTTTTTCTGCTAAAGCATATTGGTGGTATTTCCATTTGGGTTTGTCAGAATGAATGCTTTTTGCTTACACAGATTAAACAGACATGTAATTTGGTCTACCATGTACAGCAAGGAGGAGTATAAATTTATATTACCTTTGTGTTTATCTGATTGGAGGCACCGTCAGTTAAAATTTTCCATTTGAGTGTAAGTGGGTGAAGGTTTCCATCATTTTCATTTATAATGGTAAGAATAATGGTACAGGTTACAGCGCCAAATTATAAAACTGTACCCAGGGCCCCGCCCATAGTGACCTTAGACAAAGAAGCATAACATAATACAATCACATGGGATGGGTGTTACACTTTATAAATTTATATGATTCTTACATTCAAAAATGCCCACACCTTTCAAAATGTCTCCTATCTAAACCCAAATTGGTACATCAGGACGTAACAAAAACTACTAAAGTATTGACTGAAATCCAAATGTCAAAACGTGGATACAAAGACAACATGAAACTATGGACCCCATCTTTCCCAAGGAGCCACACGAACACAAGTTAGACTACGGTGATATAATAAATAGTGGATTTATTTATAACAGAATGAAACAAATGGTGATAAAGTTACACTTCAGGGTGAGCCAAGGCCAACATAACAAACAAAACACCTCTAACTAGAAATCAGCACTAACCTATCAAAAAAAACTAATGAAAACCAGCCACAAACAACTGATCTTCCTAACTATTATATACAGGAGAAAAAGAAGAGTAACTGAACTGGCTGCCTAAACCTACTTAAACTAGATCAAACTGTAGCCTGTTGGGAGATGTGGAAGATGCCCCCACGTGCCAGCTGCCGCCATCTTCTCTGCCTAAATAGCAAGCTGTCAGGGAGCAACAAATCATTTGCCAACAGCTGGAACCGCAGCCACCAATCCCCCGCCGAGCACAGACAAAACCACCAATTCCAATGATGTTATGGTACAGACCTATTTACATAAGAAACAGAACAGATGGCACTGAACATTTCTCATCCTTTGCAAATTACAACCACAGTCATAACACAGAGTATAAAACTTCACTACATGTACTACGTGAGCAGAATGTAAGACAGAAATCAGCATGTTTATAATTTATTTTATTACAACTTTAATGTTTTATTAGAAGTCCTGCAATGCAACGTGCAGAGCCCCGTTCAATTGAATTGTTTTTAAGAGGAAACTGGACTACAGAGCTGTTAGCTTGTGTGACTATGACATTGTTGGTTTGGGTCTTTCCACTCTGTCAGAGGTAAAAAAAAAAAATATAGCATAACACCAAACACATCAACATTTTTCTAAAGTGGATATATTTAATAATAAAACATGGGAATTAAATTCTTTTTAGATGTGACCCAAATGGGTAATGGGTGGATTATGTATTGAGCTTGTTGGGAGACCGTTCCGGCTGAACCAGACCAACTCTCCCTGACTTGAAGATGGCACACGTATTGCAGGGTCCCCAAATACAACTGTAGAGATCAGATGTTTGATTCCCTGTAACAGTCTCTCTGGCTTGCTTGTGTATTTCAACATATCAGCTTCACAGTGGTGGGAAGCCAGTGAGGGATTTCGTCCTTTTTTTTAAAGTGCTGGATAATTAAATGTTCCTGTCTTGCTTCAATGAACCCTCACCCCCTTTTGATTCATGAACAATGCTACAGAGTTTCTCACCATCCTGTCTGTTGCTACCTCTAGCACTAAACAACAAGCAGGAAAAAAAATTATAAATGAAAATGATATGCACCATTGGATGCAGGAGTTCCAAGCCCAAATGCGTTGATCTTGCTTGTAGCGCCCCTAGAGGTGGAAGTGTGCGAATTTTTACGCCTGAGGTACACTTGGGAGTGTGTACCTACCCTATGAGTCTGTAACACTTACTGTCTAGGCTGCAGTATCACTTTTATGTATGTAGTACAAAAAATAATGAAAACCGTAACGATTATAATAAGGTTCCCAGTCCTGCTAGTCCCTTCTCGGGCTTGGAACCCTAACATTGTTAGCAATTAATACAGATTCTTACCTCTTATTATATTATTAATACTCTGGATATTGTGTTTGCCTTTCGGTTGACAGCACAAACAGAGAGAGAAGGTGAGAACAAGAACCAGGTGAGAAAGTGGACAGGTCACAACAGAAGTTGTGATGCCAAGTCTTCTCATTTAGATTTGCAAATGTCCGCTTCGTGATTTTGATAATATTTTGATTAATTGTGCAGCACCAGTAAATACATTGTTTAAAACTTTTTAAATGATTTTCTTCTACCTGTTTTCTTCTATTTTAAAGCAAAACTAGTATGTATGACATATTGTCAGAGGAAGTAAACATTGCTGAAAACTATCACTTGCAGTAATGTATGTTTTATTGTTCTTTGCTGCCATGTTATCAAATAATGATGACTGAATTGTTGCGGTGGCAGCCCAGCTGACGGTGAGTGCCCTGTGCTCTTTTTTCTTTTTTTACTTCGTCTCGCATTTCTGTTTTCTCCCCCGTGTCTCCTCGCCTCTCCCTCTGTCTGTGCTCTCTCCCTCTCCGCCCTGGAGCCCGGCTGATGGCACCTGTGTCTCATCAATCTTCACCTCCGCCCGCCGCACCTGCCTGCCATCAGCCTCATCTTCAACAGTATTTCTACCCCGGTTCTTCACTCCATCTTCGCTTTATCGTCGTCGCTCCAGTCCTGGTGCCACTGCTTCGTTCAAAGCTCTCCTGTTTCTTGTTGCTTAACCTGTTGTCTCCTGAGACTAACCCTGTCTTTTCTTTCTCCCCGCCAGGTCCACTCACCTCCGCCATCCAGTCAGTCAGCCGGGCTCCTCCGTGCCCTCGTCTGCTGGCGTCCTGCTCACCTCATCCCACCTCCCGACTCCCCTCTTCCCTTTTTCTCCCCCTCAATAAACCTCTTTTGGTAATCTGACAAGCGCTGCGTTTGGGTCCGTTCTGTCCACATCCATAACAGAACGATCAAGCCATCATGGACCCAGCACGTAGCGTTCCCTCGCCCCATCCGCGAACTCTCCTCGACACCTCCCTCTCCTGGGGGAGCGTGACTCTCTCTCTCGGGGCCCTTATTGACTCGGGCGCTGATGAAAATTTTTAGATCGGGAAATCGCTCGTCAGCTCAAGATTCCCCACGTTTCTCTTGACGCCCCCCTTCACGCCACGGGCCTTAACGCCAAACACTCTGTTACTCCCCTCGAGTTTTAATAAAGGCTCAAGTCATTCCTGGGTTTTCACGGGCACATTTATTCGATGACGGGCATGTCTTTACATGTTCACTTGCGATTCCAAATTGCCATCAGAACTGGTATATAAATAAACACAGAAAAACGTAAATTAACCTTAAATTCTTGACATACTTGCAAACAATACTAAACAGAATCACATAGAAACTAAGAAATAAAGTATACATTTATGCCATGTAAAATAATTGGCTTGTTACAAACACAGTCACGTAACACAAATAAATGACAAAGAAAGAGAAAATATATACCTCATTGGCCACATGAACCCGAGAGGGTAAACTTAGGTTATTAGTCTTCAATCCACGACGACAAAACTTATGGATAACCTTAACAATCTTCCATGGCTTTTGAGAAAACTGCAGCACATTTCTCTCATCTAGATCTTAGTGAGTGTACCCATACAGCGTCCCTGTAGCAAATTATCATTTCCGCACGGAACAAAAAAATAAGTTCCACCCTTTTCCTCAGTTTTTAACAAAATAAATAATCATGAAATTATTTATTGACCATGAAATATTTCAATCATATGATTTTTAACCTCATAATTAAAATATAAATATATATGAACCATATTTAACAGAAATGCATGAGTTGCCTTTGATTGCAGCTACACCCTCACCACGTCACCCATCGCACCCCGCCATTAGCCCTTGTCACATCCGGGAACCACCACGAGTCCCTCGCCTTCCACCTAATCACCTCCCCTGCCGCTCCCCTGGTTAGCCACCCATAACCCTAACATCGATTGGTCGCGGGGGAAGATCAGGAATTGGAGCGCCTCCTGTTATGCGTCCTGTCTCCTGTCAGCTCGAGCCCCCGGTAATCCTCCCCGGCCTACCCCACCTCCCCTTCCTCCCGACCTGTCAGGTGTCCCACATCTGTATCACGACCTCGCTCTAGTTTTCAGTTAAAATCAGGCTCTGTCGTTACCCCCCCACCGCCCCTACGACTGCTCCATAGACCTCCTCCCGGACGCGCCTCTCCCTTCAAGTCACCCCTACAACCTGTCGCGTCCGGAGAGAGAGTCTATGGAGCAGTACATTAAAGACTCTCTTGCTGCCGGCATAATCCTCCCCTCTTCCTCTCCACTAGGGGCTGGCTTCTTTTTTGCATGTAATTAAACTTGCACATTCCAGCAAGAAACATCTGTATGACCAGTCCAGACAGGATGTGAGGGCACTCCTCAAACATCATTTTAAAACGAGGCAGTGAAGTTTAGTTACAACTCTGGACTAATGCAAGATGGGAAGCAGTGGATTCATATTGAATATTAAAAAGTTGATTAGCGATGTGGCAGCACAGTAGCAGAGGTCCTCACGACCATCAGCTAATTATGCAAATTTGGAGACATACATTTCATTATTAATCTGAAAATTGAGGTCCTGTGTTAAAGACCAGAACTAATACCAGTTTCCGACCAAAAATTTGTACCTTCCCGGCAAATGTCAATCAACAGCAAAGCATACTTTTTCAAAGGTACGGTAACAAGAAGTAAGCTAGCTTCAGAGCAGCCCAACACCTCGACGACACCGACATGCGACATGCGACAACGACCCTAAACCTGGAGGAGTGTTTGCCGATAAGACAGTGTTTGAAGAAATAGGGAAAATGAGTGCTACTCTTCAGATGGTGGTGGCTGATGTTGTCTTAATTAAGGAGACAACAAAAGAGCTTGAAGATGCGGTGGGGAGCATACAAGTGAGGCTGGGAGAGGCAGAACAACGGATATCAGACATGGAATACGTAAATACACGAATGGAGGAAAGCACGGGGAAGTGTGATAAAAGACTGGAAGCACTGTGGAAGACCTGGAATACCTCAGCAGAAGAAATAATGTAAGAATGGTGGGACTCAAAGAGGGCAAGGAGGAGACGGGCAAAGTTATTCAGTATGTGGAAAAGATCATCTCTCTGGGGCTCGGGCTATCCGGCAACAAGTTTGAAACTGAGTGTGCCCAACGCTCTTTGGCACCCATACCAGGCCCGAATCAACCGCCCAGGACCATACTGATGCGCTTCCTGCGCTCATCAGCCCGAGACAAGGTGCTGCAGGTGGCTAAGGAAAGACGTGGGATCGAAGCACCGAGTTCTGGGTTTCTTTGACCCAGGGATGTGTTTATATTTTTCATGTTTTATCTCTGCACTAAGACAGTATTTCTGAGAAGGCCTAACACTCTGAATAACCTCTTGAATATGTGGTTATTTAATATTGAAACCAGGGTGAGAGAACTGAGGTCAAAGAGTATTTACATGTCTAGAAATGATGGCTAACCGGTACATTAACATAATATCATGGAACATAAATGGATGTGGGAACCCCACTAAAAGGAGGAAGGTTCCGACATATTTGAAATCTAAAAATACAGATATAGCATTTATTCAGGAGTCTGATATAATAGGAGATGAAGAGGCAGGGAAATTTAAGAGTTTTGTTACAATATGGTTTTCATAGCTCATGCTCTAGTAAACAGAATGGGTGATGATTCCAATTAATAAAAAAGTTTTATCATGCTAAAACAACACAATGATAAAGACGGCAGAATTATTTGTATTGAAACCTTGATGCAATTCATATGATGACGGAGGAATTGAGTCTGGTGGACACATGGAGATTGGTGAACCCATGTGAGAGGTCACAAATCTCACTCAAGGATTATTTTTTCCGATGTCTAACTCATTAATAGACTTAGTAGTGGACTGTGAGTTAGGGGCTATTTGCTGTTAGTGATGATGCCACAGTGGAGTTACATGTTGTCCTGAACACACATAATGAGAAAAGAGTACGTTGGAGACTTAACAATGTGTGGCTACAGGATGTGTCATCTAGCAATATATTATCAGAGGATCTTAAAACTTTTTTTGAAATTAATATTGGCTCTACAGAAACAATTTCCTCGGTCTGGGAAGCGTCTAAAGCCTCTATAACAGGGAAACTTATTGCTCATGCCTACAAAATGAAAAAGGAGAATGCGAAGAAAGAAAATGCATTAGACAAAGAGATCCGAAAATTAGAGAAAGAACTGGCAAGTCACTATTCAGATAAGCTATACAAAACAATCTGTTATATGAAATATCAGTTACATGATATATATAACAAAGGGTGAATATGCCTTATTTAGGCTAAAAACTAATTTCTATGAATGGGGCGAAAAGATTGGCAGATTGTTAGCGAGGAAATTAAGGCATCAGGATACTTCCAACAACATTCCAATGATTAAGAATGATAATGGATTAGTAACTTCATCAAAAGAAATCAATCAGATTGTTTGAATTTTTTATGAATATCTATACACATCCTCCTGTGCTTCTAATCCGGAAGATACAGATATGTTTTTCTCAGGTATTCATCTGCCTTCTGTATCTAATGAGCAAAAAGACATGCTGGATGCTCCAATAACAGAGGAAGAGATTAGGGCTACTAACTCATCCATAAAAACCAGGAAATCACCTGGTTTGGATGGCTTTCCAGTTGAATATTACAAGAAATATATTGATATTTTGGCGCCCATTCTGCATCAGGTATACATGGAGGCATTTGAGAGGGGCTCGCTGTCGGGTACGTTTAATGATGTTTAATCTCTCTTATTCCTAAGAAAGACACCTCAGATGTGTCCAATTTCAGACCTGTGGGGGTGGATTGTAAGATCCTGACAAAGACCTTGGCGTTGCATCTAGAGAAAATAATGCCAGACATTATACATGGAGATCAAGTAGGTTTTATTAAAAAAAAGGTCTTCAGTTACTAACATATGATGCATATGAATTGTTCCAATCCAGTACCAGTGGCAGCCTTTTCACTTGATGCTGAGAAGACTTTTGACAGGGTGGAGTGGGGGTTTCTCAGGTATTAAGTATCTAGGCATTCAACTAAATACCAACTCCTGCAGAAAATGAAAATGATTTTGGATAAATGGGGTAAATTTAAGCTCACACTGTGGGGAAAAATTTATGTAATTAAAATGGTGGATCCACCACAATTCATGTCTCCAAGATGTTGCCAGTCAATATAGCACCACAGCTGTTTAAACAATATGATTATATATATGAATTTTTATGGGATAAAAAAGACCAAGGATTAATATGAAGAAGGGAAATGGGAGGTAGGGGTCTACCTAATGTAAGATTATATAACCTAGCATTTGAAATGTCTAAAATGATAAAACATTGGAAGGGAATAGATCAGGAGCTGAGCTGGATCAAAATTGAAAGGGGACTAACTAGCCCATTTGAACCTCTGGATGTCCTCTCACATGGTGTAACAACCTATACAACACAACACAACATAATTACTTTTCAAACCCAGTGTTGTCTTATTCTAAAGCAGTCTGGAAAGAAGACAGCTTTACGCCTCTCTATGGTATAACCCAGCCATACGTATTGGGAAGAAACCTATTTATTGGAACCAATGGCTTATCAGAGGGATACGCAAAATAAGTGACCTGTGGATGGAGTGTTCATGTCATTTTCTGATAGTATGCAAAAATATAATTTGGAATATAAAGGTAATTTTTGGAAATATTTACAAATATGAGACTGTATCACAAAGGGTAAATTTAATCACAACAAGAATATATTGATGGAAGTTTTGGACCTACCTAATATAACACACACAGCAGCAGTATTCTACAAGACATTTAGTACAGGAGAAGATATATGTAAAAATCTGAGGATCATTTGGCGGAAAGACCTAGGGTGTGATCTGAGTGAGGAGGATTGGTTAAAAATCTTATCTAATAAAGGGAAACACATGAGAGAGGCGAAGGGAAAATTTATTCAGTACAAGATAATTCATATATTTTATTTCACCCCTTCAAAACTACATAGAATTGGCTTAATAGGAAATAATTTATGCTGGAAGTGTCTGAGTGAAGTAGGGACATTTTTGCATGTAATTTGGGGATGTAAACTGGTCCACCCGTTTTTTGGGAGAAAGTACAGGAACATATGAGTAAGTGGCTGGGTGTGGTGGTACCTGTGTCACCAAGACTGTGTTTGCTATGGGACCAAACAGAAATGTCAAATATATCTAAATATGGACGAGGGGTTTTAAAAGTTGGGATTGTCTCGAATAATTCTCAGAGAATGGAAGAGTACAGTCGCCCCAGATGTTAAAAAATGGATGTAAATGATGTCAGAATTTGCATCATACAAATGCATGTTGGCTAGAATCAATAACGAAGAGGAACAGTTTAGGAGGGCATGGGAATGTGTCTTTCTGTAAGTCAGACATATGGAAAGATTTGTGGAAATGGTGCTGAATGTATATTTTGGTTGTTTCAGATACGGAAATGTCGATTTGCAGGCGGTCTGTATGTTGGGGTTAGTGTTTATTTTGTATGTTTTGTATGTTTGAATAAATAAAAACTGTAATGACAAAAAAAAAGCGGGGCAGACTGGGCAACATGGATGCACATTTCACTAAATAATAAACATATTCAGCCCAGTCATTTTATATTTGAAAATGTATTAAAGGAAACCTGGAGGAGCCAGTTTGGATGGGCCTCATGCTGTATGATTGTTATCAGCTAACAATCATTTATATAAAATATTTATAATTTACAGGAGCTGTGCTGAGGTTTGTCAGTAGAGGAGATGCTGGATCATCAGCCAGTACAAGAACAGTTGATCCACATCCACCCTCAGCCAGTACGAGCACATGACACAATGACCCTGCAGATTGGTCCTCAGTTTTATCAGACTTCATGAGGAGTGAGTTAGTGCGAAGAGGTCTGTTCAAACCAGCACTGGATTTTTCTAGGTTTCTGTTCAGGCTTCTTACAGAGATTGTAATTGTAATAATATAATAGATTGTAGTGAGAGCATTGTGGTGTCAGGTGTGACCGTGCTCTGTTGTCGCACTGTGAGTTGCAGCCATTTTGTGACCGAATGGTGACATAACTGGTGGAGTTTTGCAATATAAACATCTGAAAACTGAAGCCAGCCTTGCTCTGTTTGGGACTGTGAGCTGTACTTTATGAGAGTTGCTGAGGTTAACAGTAGATTTTTGGTGAGATTGTAAATTGAGAAGTGTTTCAGTTAGTTTTGGTTTCCTCTTGTCTCATTCTTACATACCCAAAGTCCCAAAAGGGGTTCTGTGTCTGTCAGACGGGGATAGTACCACAACAGCAGCGCAACAATGCAGACTTATCCTCCTCTTTTCTTTATGTGTGGTACTTTTACTTTTGATTACTTATTTAAGTATTTTTAAAACCAGGTACGTTTTTACTTTTACTTGAGCAGGTTTATACTGGATGACTTTTGCTTTTACATTTTTCATGTGATATCTGTACTTTTACAGGTTTTTACTGGTTTTATGAGAGGAGCTGGTAATCACTGACTATTGAAGAAATGGTTATTTAATTTTAAATTCAATCTGGCTCAGGAGCTGGGAAAATTGGTTATTCAACACATGATAATATTTCTGTACCATATAATTTCTAAGAAAGTATATAAAGGTGCTTGGAACAAAGCATTAGTTTAACAAAGAATTCATGCAGGAATGTAAATTAGTTTAAGATTACAAGATTAAGAGCACTGCGAAATTATTATTTATGTTTTTTTTCTTTTGGTAATAACATGATAATAAACTACTCAGATTGAAGTGGTATGCCACAAAGTAACTTAACAAAGATGATTTAATTCAAACAAGGTACTAAGGCAAGTTTATAAGGAGACAACATTTCTTTGTCCCCACAAAGGATTTTGGGGCTGTTTTCTTCTCTGGTGTCTGGCAGTGTTATAAGTTCACAACTGGGTGTGAATAGGGAAAGGGTTTGTTAGAGTCCATGTTAATGGGTCTTTGGTGAGGTAGAGAATCAGGACTGAAGAAAGGGGTTCTTTCATGTCTGAGGTAATCTGAAAGGAGAACACCAATACCATGTTTACCCTGTCCTTTTTGCTCCTCGAGTGTCTGTGTGGGGGGAGTTTAGAGGTTAGTCTCTGGACAAGGTTAATATTATCATTTTAACAGTCATGCATAGAGTCTGTTATCTGAGCTTCACCAGAGGTGGTAGGTTTTATCGTCAAAACTTAAATACAATGTTTATAATGGCAGAGATGAATGTTTTGGATTAAGATGAAATATTGTTTTCTAGTGTTGTTTCAGTCTTAAACGATATATATTCATATTCAACTAATCTCACGCATGTGGTCTTGTACTCTTCCGTTCACTTTTTGGGGATATGAGCAGCCACTCCCAACTGATCCTCATTTTTGCTGAAGTCTGACAGGCTCAACGGCGCAGATCAAAGGACTTTATCTGGGGCGAGTTTAAACAGTGAAAACATTTTGCAGTTTGCTACATTTTGTCAATTCCCAGATTTGCATGACAAGTGCAACAAAGATGTAGAAAGAACGAGAAAACAGCCACAAGAGGCAGCTAAATGA